AAAAAATATATATATATATATATATATATATATATTTTTTTTTTTATTTTTTTTTTTTTTTAAAAATAATAAAGTTGATGGATTAAATGTTACATGATGTTGAATACTTCAACAGGTATAAATACTTTGGTAAGGTTCTGTACAGAGTAAAAACTGACAAAATAATAGTATTTAGTGACGAGTCTGATTTTTCTTTTTTTTCCTGCCCATTTGTCTTAAATGTCTCTCCACAACTGAAGTGCAACCTGTTGTAAAACCTTATTAACTCATCTTCTGTCAGCTGTTTGCTGAGGCCTGTCTGAGGACGCTGTGTATTGCGGTTCGATCTGTTCCTGAGGCATTGTGGGAGCGGTGGAGTGAGACTTTGGCCCTGTCTGCTGCCATGGCGACCTGCGAGCGTGACACCCTGCTGGAGAAGCTGTACGATGAGATGGAGAGAGATCTGCTGGTGCCCTCTTTCTCCGTCTCTTTCCATTTGAAAACATGTTATTGATCTAACCAGCAAAGATAGTTTGACTTATTATTATTATTATTATTATTATTATTATTATAAGCAATTTCTACATTGTTTTTCGAGAAGGAAATTTTGTCTTGTAGCATTTAAACTCATTATTTTGAAATCCACCATAAATAAAATGGGGAAAAAAATGCTTAAACATAACCAATGTCGTAGCTTCTGGGGGTGACGGCAATTGAGGACCGGCTCCAGGAGGGAGTTCCTGAGACAATCGCACTTCTTCAAGAGGCTGGGATTAGAGTATGGGTGCTGACTGGAGACAAAAAAGGTATTGGGAAAATTCATTGCAGGAATGAAGAAAAAGAGAAATAAGAGTTCATTAGGCTTTTGTTTTTTCCTCTTAACTTCTACCGCTTGTGCCTTCAGAAACCGCAGTGAACATCGGGTACGCTTGCAGGCTGCTGCACCCTGAAAGCAGATTACTGGAGTGGCAGGAACTCAGGTCTGCATTCATACACGAAATATAAAATGAAAGCAAATAGCCCAGGAACACTCACACGCACATGTTCTTGATATCCCATTGATCATTGTTTGTTTTGCTCACGCAGGCAGATACTCCAGTCTGCAGACCCACAGGTCAGCTTCTTCAAAGCCAAGCAGACAGAGCTGTGGGCTACACACAAGGAGATGGCAAGAGCAAAAACTTCTGTGGTCCTCACCGGATCTGAACTGGTAAACTGCAGCCTACACAGTAAATAAAAAACATATAATATTTTCATAGATCAGGGTTTTTTTTCTGTGATTCTCTATTGAAAATGTGCATTGTTTTAGATACGTGGGGTTTAAAGGCATGTAGAATTTGATATGCGTAGTTTACCTTGTACTTATTTCAAAGGGGATTTGGAAATGTTCAAAAATCCAACATAAATGTATAATTTTTCACTTGCCAGAACTCATACTCATCACACACAAACAAAGTGAACGATTTTAAGGTCTTACTTGATTTAACCATTGTAATTTAAAGAGAAAACATTGGATAAAAAATTATATCTGGAATACAATGTCGAAAACTGTCAAGAAAAAAAATACCGCATGCACATTCAGCTGGTGAGTGGGTCAAGCTTGTGGTCAGGAGTGGTTATCTTGCAATCTGAAGGTTGTTGGTTTGATTCCAGCTTCTTCTTGCATCTTATTTAAAAAAATAATATTTGCAAGTTGCCAACTCATAAAAATGTCCCTTTCTCACCATTTGTAGTTAAAGCTTTAATAAAACACTCATCTAAAACACATTTGCAAGTTTCTGGTGAACTCAGAAAACCTTTTTGTCCCCTGATTGCTGTTCTCCACCAGCCTGAGCAGCTCTGCCTCCTTCCCACAGCAGCTCTGCTGGAACTTGATATTCAAAGAGCATTTTTATTGGATGCAACACTGGTGACTTTTACTGAATACAAAATGAGACATTTTCCAACCTTTGCTTTTTACTACCGAACGGACCTATAAAAACCTTTTTTAGTGCTTTGGCCAAGTTTTTTATGTCAGTCAGTTTCTAAGCTGCTTGATTGTGTCTGTCCCCAGGCAGAGTTTGAGGAGAGACCAGAGTGGGGGGCCTCCTTCATGAGCCTGGCGGAGCAGTGTCAGTCAGTGCTGTGCTGCAGAGTGACGCCTGCTCAGAAAGCTGAGATCGTGAAGTTGGTTAGGAAGCACACCGCCTCCATCACCATGTCGATTGGTGATGGAGCCAATGATGTTAACATGATCAAGAGTAAGTCGCAGATGGGGGAGGAAAAAAAAAAAACTGCACTCATTTTGCTGTGCTCATCTTACTATGTTTCCTCATCGTTCCATCAACACCAGCGGCTCACATAGGAGTGGGGCTGGCTGGCCGGGAGGGAGGTCAGGCCGTCCACAACGCAGACTTTGCTGTGTCCCAGTTTAGATTTTTGCAAAGGCTGCTGCTGGTCCACGGTCGCTGGTCCTATCGCCGCATCTCCCTCTTCCTGCGCTACTTCCTGTTTAAGACCTGTGGTTTTGCTCTTGTGCACATTTGGTTTGGGATCCTCAATGGCTTCAGTGCTCAGGTTAGGAACACACTCACAAAGCCGTGTGACTTCATGCCTCATGATGGAGAGACCAACCATAATTTCCCCACAGTCTCTGTACGAGACGTGGTTCATCGCTCTCTACACCGTCTTCTACACTGCAGTGCCGGTGATGTGCATGGCTTTCTTTGAACAGGTCAGTCAGATTTTTTATTAACCACACAATAGGATAAATCTGAAAATAATTACAGCGACTGCTGCATATTTTTGTTTAATAGGATGTGAGTGCAGAGAGCAGCCTGAAATTCCCTGAACTGTACAAGAGTGGGCAGAAGAAGGAGCTCTCCAGCCCTAGAAAGCTGGTCACGTATCTTCTGTATGCTGTCTACATGTCTCTTGTTCTCTTTTTCATCCCATGTGGAGTTTTCTACAACACGGCCTATGACTACCAGACCATGGCGGTCACTGTCTCGATGGCTGCGACGTTCGCTGTTACAGTTGAGGTCAGGATCGCTTTTTGTCAAAAGTAACTGGGACATTCTCACACTTTGCTTCGTTCCAACCACAAGTTATTTTATTGTAATGCTATTATTTCCGTGAAGTAAAGAATAATTTTTAAGCAGATAGGAAAGCATAGAAAGATTTAATTATGTTTTCTTTTTTAGAAAAGAAAAAGAAACTGAAAAGTGTGCCAGCGTAGCCAGTTCCCTTCAAAAGTCACTAGTGCTGAATAAAGTCCTACAGCATTCAGTTTAATCTTAGTGTAAATAAAACAGGTCGGGGAAGTTCTTTTCTCTCCTCTTTGTCTTTTTTTAGCGTTCAACTGTATTGATAACTTGCTGTTCGTTTGTTGATGGCGCGCAGCCAGATCCAACATTTGCACATTTTCTGGCAGATTTTATCTGTGCAGTCACAAAATATTTTATCCTTTTATTCATCATTTGTGCATGCTATAAAATATTTATACAACTGAAGCTCCTCTCTCTGTTAATATCTGCAGTAATGTAAAGTTATCTTCTTCCGGATTTGAATGTCCCACAATAAAAATGAAACGATAAAAAAAAAATGTTACATGTCTTTTTCACAGGAAGCACCTTTTACCCGTGCCCTACACATTCATTCTTCTTTGTTTGTTTTCTTCTTGTCAGATTGTGATACTAACCAAATACTGGACAAAGTTCAACATTGCAGCTCTGTGCGTCTCGGTGGTTATGTTCTTCATCTGTACCAGAATCACACACAGCACTCGCCTTTTTCAGAGCTCGCCCGTCGACTATTTCTTCCTTGGTATTTTATTTTATTTTATTTTTTTCAGTTTTCAGATTATTCTCATTACTAATTTAGTTTTTAATTATGCCTGGTGTTACCCTTAAGGCGCATCCACAGAATAATCACATGCAACGCAAAGAATAAACTAACAAACAAAAATGTTGTTTTTCTGTAATTGTTTTGAAGCTTGTGGATAAATTGGTTGATTTGTTGGTATTCCAGTGGCCGGTTTTGACTGCTGTGCTTGTTTTCCCCCCAGGTGTGTCTGAAAAGGCCTTCATTGATCCAGTGGTGTGGCTCACAGCTTTGCTCACAGCTTGGACCGCTGTTCTGCCCTCGGTTACGTTTCACGCCTTCAATGTCATTCTCAGTGTGCACAACAAACACAAGGTGGGACATCTTTGGGTAATTTTTGAGAATACACAGCAGACTCTTCAATAGAAGATCAAGAGAAAAGTATCATCAATTTTGCAAATTCTGATTTTTGTTCGGGCTTGAAGTTTGTTGTTCTTTTCCACATGAAAAGTTTAAAAAAAATGTGTGAAAAGGCGTAAAATAAAGGCATTCATCAGAAAACACAAACAAATATTGCTAGAAGGTAATCAGGGTAGAAATGGAAAAGTGGTTAGAAATCAATCTGTGGATAATTTGGCTCTGATTTTAAGAAAAAAAAATAGTTTGTACCGTGGCTAATTATTGTGGGAAATTATGAAGGAACAACATTTGGAGAGACTGGTTGCTGATTTATTGATAAAGCAACGGACGTCAGCAGACATTTTGTTCTGAGGTGATGCACAAAAAAAGTCAAAACTTCAGTTGGATACGTTTTCTTACCTGAGAAATTGTGCTCACAAACAACACCCACGGTCTCTTGATGCTCCTGCTGCTTACTCACTACTGTTCAAATGATCTTGTAAGTTGTGGCAAGAAGTGTGTATTCTTCCTTCACCTTCAGGCTCTTCCTTCCCTTGGTGTTATGTTTCCAACTTGACTTCAAGGAAAAAGTATTTCGAACAACAACGCTCCTGTCTTTGCGAACAAGGAAAAAAACTGCCTCCATCATCTGTTTTTATTTTTTTGAATCTCACACACTTTTCTTGATTTGGGGAAAGTAAAAGTTGCTAGTCTGCTTTAGAGGGTGTTGGTTTTAAGAAACAATCCCTGATATGTTTTTCTATGTATATGTGCAGATACATAACTCATCCCCTCCTCCAGTGGAGCTGACGTCCAGGTTCGCAAGAGGGTCATCACTCCGTCGGTCATCGTACGCCATCTCTCAGGGGGCCGGACCGGGACGCCTCATTCATTCAGCGACAAGCATCCAGAGAGCAGAGGCGTTAAAGGAAGAGAAAGTATCTACAAGTAAAAAGCTACGTGATATTTGAGGTCAAAGTCTAAGCAATGCTTCTGCGTGGTGGTGTGCCAAAGTGATTTCAGACTTTCTATTTCTGAGTCAGAGTAGACGCAACGTGAGATAAGAAGTTGAATGCGGTGCCCCTCAGAGGGACTGGGAACTTTGTATGTGTCACAGAAGATCCGATGCAGGCTTTGCAGGTGAACGGATGTGGAACCCTGAATAACTTTTCAGTCAGGTTTATTTATAATTGATTAGTGATCAGTCCAGTCTGCATTCACTCTACTGAAGCACGGACGATTTGTTGCAGAGCTGTGGATAATAAGTCTTGTAGTAGAGTGCTGGTCATTCCTTCGCCATTTTGTATCTTTAAAGTTTTTTTATTTTATTTTTCATGACCTTTTCTGCTACACAATGGAGCTGCCAATCGCAAAGACCTCACTTACTGAACGTGCATCAATTCGTACCTGCTGGGGTTGACAACTAATGGCTGAAAGTTGCTGGATGTCACTTACAGTTATTCTGATTTGATTAGGAGTTATATTCCGCCATATGTTAGCAGAGTAAACTGACCTGATCGTGGATCAGAACCAAAAGTTAAAGGGAATAGGATGCAATACATCTTCAGTTGGTAATACAACATTAAATAAAATCCTACACACTATTTTTATTACAGTTTATTTCTATAATTTATGAAAATACTTAACTACAACAAAAAAAATATATAGGCTATGATAGCCATAGGCTATGGCTTGTTTGCAGGTACAAAATGAAAATGGGAATGGATTAAATTGTGTGTATAGATAAGAAATCAGAGTAGAAATTGGCAAAAAGGCGAAGTGACCGGGAACCATTGCTGTAGCTCCTCTGCCTGGTTTGTTTGTGTTTATAAAGATTAATTTAAAGTCAGATTAGCTAAAATGATTCCATTGTTTCTGCATGAGTAGTTAGTAATAGTTCTAAAGTTTTATTGGAAAACCATAATATTAATTGTCTCTGCATATACAACTAAATCTCTGTATTTTAGAAGGGAGTATATGGCATTTTAGTATAGTTCATTTGGCCCTGTTTTACTAATAAAACTATTACAGAAAACGTATTTACTTGTCTTTCAATCAATCCACACGCAATAAATCAACAGCCCCACTTTGTTTTACAATTGTTTTATTTGTTAATTTATTTCAAAACACGCAATTTACCCATATTATCCTTTTTACGATTTTTTTTATTTTTCTGTAACAGTTATTACTCAGGTTTTTTTACCTTCTCAAGAGTCTCAGCTAGAGTGAAACTAAAAGTCCTCCACAGGCTCTCCGGCTTCTGCAGTGGGAGGAGGATGGGAGAGAGGCTTTCTGGTCAGACGCGAGTGGGTCGCTTCCCCGTTTTTCTACGCGAGCGGGATGTGTGTTTGTGTCCGTGTCAGACCAGGCTATGGGTGTCTACATGTGTGCGTTTAAGTGCAAGATGTGGAATGTCCCACATGGTCGGGTAAATCACAAGACCCGTAGAGCAGCCCAGAAAGATGAGTATTGTCTTCCAGGTTTGGCAGCCAGATTGTCACACCTTTGATTTCATCTTTGGTTTCAGAAAATGAAAGAAAAAGAAAACGCTCTCAAAGGGGCAGATTCACCCTCTGCAGCATGTGCCTATGTCTGTGTATCTGTAAGTCTGTCCGAGTGCAGTACAAGCCACCGTCTCTCCAGACGACTTTGTAAACTCGAGTAGGAACAATGTTAAGTGTCTTTGCATTGATTGTGGCCCTTCCTTGGCGCTGGGGGACAAAGACAGTCAAACATTGTGGGGCAGCGGAGCCATGACGAGTGGAAGGGAGAGGGGGCTGGGGGAGGAGAAGGGTCAACTTGCAAACATCAGCACGGGGCTCCATTTTGGCACCAGTGGCAGTTTGGGGCTTTTGTAGTGAAAATAAGGGGGCTGCAGTGCCGCTTCATCCCTGGCCACTCAGGGCTAAAACTAGCTGAGCGATTGGTGCTGCTTCACCCTCGTTCAGCTCATGAGACGGGCGGGATGAACAGAGGTGAAAGGTCAAACGGTGAGTGCTAAAATGCAGAGTAGGGGGTGGCCGGGGTTTGAGGGTTATACACTCTGACCCAGCAGCAACGATTAAGATTGGGGAGGGTCAGGTGTTTGCATAGTTCTTTGTGCAAAAGCCACCAACCGGAGCCATTTTTATTTCCTCGCGGCTGGCTACATCGTCATTAGATCAGCGGGAGTCGGGCGGTGGGTGATGGGAAGCATGGTCTTTGCACCGCAGCTCTCTGTTTTTTTTGTACTCCTCCATAGAGGCAGGAGATGAGGCAGAGCGAAGAGCGAGAGAGGGTGAAGAAGTGAGAGTTTTGCCAACAATGGGGTGGAAGATGACTATATCTGAGTGAGTGGGGGGGGCCGGGGACGAGAGGGGGCAGTCGTTTGGCAGTCGCACACTGCAGTTCGCCACGATCCAGAGAGCCTCCTCTCCCGTGATTTTTGCTCTCCTATCCTCCCCTTCCTCCTTCCCACTGGCCTGCCCTCTCTCTACCTTTTTTCTTGTTTTGAAACTGATTGTCTTCTACCATCACAAAGACACTTGGTTCTGATTGATTAACAGGTAACAGAAGAGGGAGAGCACAGTGTGACTGGGGGTGTCTCTACATCGGCCCCGCCACGGCAACCCGTCGAGTCCGGTCGCGAGACATCGCCCCACGCGACATGCTGTTTGACAGCAAAACGCGGGAAACGCTCCGGGCCGGCCGCCGGGTTGCCACGTGGTTCCGCTGTCGGTTGGTCAGTCAATCGGCAAGAAATGGTTTGAGATTTTTGCATGACAAATATTGCAACCCATAGCAATGGAACGTAAAATAGAAAAAAAAAAGAGAGAAAAAAACACCGTCTTCCACAAAGGTACAAATGAACACATATACACAGATTGAAGAAAAAGCATGTAGACAAAACATACAGGCATATTCAAGGCCGGCTCTGATCGGCGTGTGTCCCTCTGATTAACTCCAAGTAAACAGCCAGTCTTTGGAAAAGCAGGACACACATTCCGAGACCCGAGTGTGGACCACGAGCTGAGGAATGAAGATTGAATGCTATTGATTAGGGAGGAGACAAGTTTACCTCCCCCAGCACACACTGCCCCCTACTGTCTGGATTTATATACATCAAAGAAACATTGGGGGGGAAGGGGGGGAAGGGTTGCAACAACACATGCACACAACCAGTGAATCCAACAGTGACGGAAAGTCTAAAAACAACAACCCCTCCAACGCCTAAAACCCAAATACCTCCCCACCCTATTTTTTTTTTTCTGGCATTTATTTTGATAACCAAAATATTCCCCCACCCCGTCTCCGCCCACTCCAAAGTCTTCCTATCCTCTTCCTCTCCCCACAAAATCACAGGTCATTCCTGTTGGTTTCTATACAGTTATACAATATCCATGCACAAAAGAAAAGAAAAAAAAGTCCACCTTCTTCTCAACAGGAGGCGCTGGTCTTTAATTATCTAAGAACATCAGGAGCACTTGAACACACCCAGGAACCTTTAAAAGTAACGATTTTATCTTTTTTTTTTCCTTTTTTTGTATTTCTTTTTTCCTCAGAGAAAAGACAACTAAAAGGCAGAAGAAAGCTAACAATGGATGTAAGGTTATTCCTCCTTTGGTTTAGCATCAAATTTTTGGTTTATAATTCAGTTCAAATGTCTGTTTTATTTCTTTGAATGTAGCCGTCTGGGAGAGAGCTTGGAACTACAGTGCCTTGCAAAAGTATTCACACCTCCTGAACTTCAACTTCAATGCATTTAATCTGGATTGTATTTGATAAAATGAACCAAACAACTGAGAAGTGGAATTTGCAACACAATACTTACAAGTGTTGTGTCAGTCCCCATTGCTTTGACACCCTTAAAATAAATTAATTGCAACACAAGGTCTCCTAGTTACTAAATATAGAGTCCACCTGTGTGTGTTTTAAATTGGGTATGAAACCAGCCATTCTTTGAAGGCCTCAGGAATTTTCTAGAGAACATCAATCAACAAACGGGTCTGGATGTAGCTGAACCAGGTTTAGATTATAAGAAATTTTCAATCCATATTGTGAAAATGGAAAGAGTGTGGTACCACTGCAGACCTCCTAAGACATGGCCTTCTATCTTAGCCGAGTGGGCAGGCAGAAAGCATTTCTAAGACAAGCTGGCAACTGAACTTTCTGGCCAACACTCAGAATTGTACGTAGGGCAGAAAAAAAATTCTGTTTTCCTTCAACAGGAACAGGAAAGCTGGTCAAAGTTGAAGAGAAAATGAATGAAGGAAGAAAAAAACGGGTGTAAATCCTAAAGGATGGCAAAGGAATTGAGACTGCATGGTGCAGAACAACAAATTGAAATGCATAACAAAAGCTACAGTGGAAAACTTTAGGTCAAACAATAATCATTTAGCCAAATTAGCCGAGATGCAATTGCTTTTCATTGACATTCTTTATCCAAGCTGACTGAACTTGAGCTATTTCGCAAAGAATCATGGGCAAAAATTATTCTTTCTTTTTATAGAATTAAAAAGTATTCACTTAGAGGTATTGAATTTATATGCCACACTTTTCAGATTATTTGTTATAAAAGATCCACTTCCTCCAAATAAAAAGCATTAAAGTTTGTTGTAACATCACAAATCGTGAAAACGCTCAAGGTGCATGAATACGTTTGCAAGCCACCGTGAGGCTCTCGCGCTTCTTCTCTCTCTATCCTGGCCTTTGCTTTTGTCTTTTCTTTTTCTCAGCTAGTCCTCCACAGAAACATTCACAATGTCTTTTCCTTTTATGAAAACAGTAAGTACATGCCGTAGCAAAAAACAAACCGAGAGAACGTACGAGAAAAATAAGCAAACGGATAAAAGGAATTTTTTTTAACAGTATAAAGCTTCAAGTCACAAGTTCGAAAACTAACTATCATAAGTATCATAGTTTCATAATCATCGTTATCATTAGCATTATTATTTTCAGCTTTAAATTACATAAAGTTTACATGAAAGGTTTTTGAGGTATTTCAGAATTAATTGTCAAACACATGCCTACCGAGTCTTGGCACTAGCCAGGGGGAAGTGTTGTCTGGACGGACAAGGTGGAGGGAGGAAAGAGTTTTGAGTCTTCCACACTTTTCCAGTGCAGCCTCTGTGCTTGCACGCAGTGGACTGTTGGTCGCTTGAAATGAATGCAGATGGTCCGAGCGCTTAAACCCGGCAGCCTCTTTTTAGGCCCCCTCTTTCTCTGTTACACAAAAATATCTCTGATGCGAGAAGGCTAAAAACGGCCGAGAGCGTAAGCACGTCGGGCAGAAGAACGGGGGGAATAATGAAAGACTGGCGAGCTGAGAGATGATTAACAATACAGCAACAAAGACTGAAAGATTGAGGAGTAACACATAGGTTTGTTTCAAATAAATGGTGTAGAGAAAATGTTTTATAGACTTACTACGTGATAAAGTGCTTGTATTCTAGTGTATCAAGATGGAAAGTCAATATGAGAGAAAATGCTGACACAGCCCCCACTCTGTGTCCCTCTCTTTGCAACCGCCCCCCCCCTTCCACCTCCTCTCGCCTCTGTCCATCCAATTATGGGTGCATTGTCTGTGTGAGCGCATGTTTGTGAGAGAGCGTGCATGCATCTGCGTGACTGCATGTGTTTAATGTATGTGTGTTTTATGTGTGTGTGTGTGTGACCAGTGCAGTCCCACCCGTGGTTGAAGGGAAAAGGCACTCAACTCTGTCTGCAAGGCGACCACCTCCTCCTAAGTGGCACGATGCAGTCTGACTGCACTGTTAGAAACGAATGTAATGTGCGTCTACTTATCAGTGTGTGGTGTTTTTTTTTTTTTCTCTTTCTCTCTCTTTTTCATCTTTGTAGGACAAAAACATCGGGAGGGATTTCGGTTGATTAAAAATGTTTTTGGGCTGTGTCCCCCTAGGCAGTTTGCGACTGGTAGGCTGCAGTATCTTTGGTATTAGTGGCGGTTTCACAAACCACTCAGCTTAGTGAGGTAGCCACACTGGTTCTCACTACAAACAAATGTCATTTTGTCAGCCTCATAACTATAGAGCTGAGTCTATCTATCTATCTATGGTTACTGAATTGTACTAGTCGATTTTTAGCTCATCTTCCTTTGGCGATGTTGACTCGCTGCTTACAGCAGCATGGTGTTTAGTCAGTGCCCCCTCCATCTACTCCCCTATAGTGACCATTTGTTATCTAATCTGCACCGCTAATCTGACTACATTGTTGGAAATGCTACAGTTGCATCTTTAGACCACACAGATAACTATTAACCCGCCTCACCCGTCCCCCTCTGACAGAGCGAACCGAGTCAGCCGGGACGTTCGGGGGTCTTTTTTTGTGCCCCCCCCCCCCTCCCTCCCCACCGTGTTCTTGAGGTTCATCTAAAGAGTAGCACAGTTCTGACATGAAACGCCAGAAGAGAGAAAGCGTCCATCTTTTCTTCTCTGCAGTTTCCTTTCTCTTTTTTTGCCTCTTCTTCCTGCAAATGTCTCCTTCAAGTCTGCAAAAAAAAATAAATCCTTCAGCAGACCAAGTCCTTGTGTCCCCCCTTTTCTTTCCTTTTAAAAAGTCCTTCCTTTTTTGGTTTTTTGTTGGGTTGTTTTTTTTTTTTTGTTGTTTTTTTTTTTTTTTGATTTATCAACAAGGTGCCTTACGTATGCACAACAGAGCACAATAGTAACAAGAAATAGAAACTTTGTGTCTATGGTACTAATTAAATACCCGCATCAATATAGAGAGGAAGAGAGAGGGCGAGGGCCAATGGGATTAGATTAGAGGGACGAAAAAGGAGGTAGAGAACCAAAGATTGAGTGAGAAATTTGTCCAGTTTTGTGTTGATGTTTTTTTTTTGTTGTTGTTGTCTTTTGTTCCTGCTTTATTGATTTGAGGTTTGGGTTTTGCCATACAATCAGATCCCCCCTCCCACCCCCATTTGTTTTTACTAAAAAAAGTTTATCTCAATTCAGTTAAAAGCTGATTGTTTGTTGCTATGGCACACACTGCCCTTCATCATCAGTGAGGTGCACTGTAGAGTGTGTTGACCATAGTACCGTATTCTCACATTAAGGCAGTAAGCATTGGCACTGTTTTGTCGTTGTGAGTGCTTTGGGTTAGCTACTGATTCATAACCATAAGGTTTACATTAAATTATCAGTTTCAGAGATCTTTTTGTTTTTTCTTTTTTTGCAGACAGATAAAATGAATGCAAAATATAAAGCCTCCAAACTAAGAAGAATCAAAATTTGAACCTCCAAAGAGTCTGTCTCGCCTTTCTGTTTCCCCCTGATGCACTTCTCTCTCCTCCTTTTTCAGTAGTAGTTTTTCTTTTTTTCTCATTTGTTAATTCCTGCCTACATACAGTAATTCCCTGCCTTTGCTAAATCCCTGCACTTTTTTTTTTCTCCAGCGTTCGGCTCAACCATCCCTCCCCCCCTTCCTCCAGCTCCACCAGTGCTGGTTGGATGAGGAACAACAATAGGATAATGGTTAGCTATTGATCCACCTTCAAAGAGCTGCGAGGGCCTGAATGTTTTGTGCCGTGACTTCTCCTCAGCATCTAGTGGCTCTTCCCTTTCTTCCCTCTCCTCTGGTCTGTATTCTCCCACCTAGCCCCCCCCACCTCCCCGACCCCCGACTCCCACAACCTTTTTTTTTTTTTTTTTTTTTTTTTACTTTTGTTGGGAGCGGGCCTTTCCTTTAACCAGGGGGGGGCCTGTTTTTTTTGCCG